TTTATTTTATATTATTACTTTGAGCTAAGTTTTGTAACACGTTATCAGCACGAGTCTCTATCCAATTGAGTTACTACATCTATAAAATTGTCTTACATCAGAAAAAGCATATGTCTGCTGTGCCTGATATTCCTTTGGAAGAGATGAGTTTTTCTTTTCATTTAGCAATTTCAAATAATGGTATGAAATATAATAAAAGGAATAACAAGGTTGAGGAGACTAGTACATCGTGAAAAGGCATATAATGCTAAGATACGTTTTCTAATTTTTTTTTAATTAATTCATTTTCTTGTTAGTTTTTCTCAAAGGTTCTTTATTTGTCGGAAAAGTTTCCAATACTAAGTATTACTTTGTAAAGTTAAAAACACTTAGATGTAAATTAATTTCTACTCCATGTTTTTCTTTCAAATATTTATTGTAAGTTTAGTCTAATCTCTTTCACCTAATGTTCAGGTTAGATGTTATATGAGAATCAGAAGCATATAATGATGCAGCTAAATGTTACATACTAAACCAGAGACCAAAGATGTATATAAATTAAGGAGCTACGCCAGCTTTTGCAAAGTGATTTGAAGAACTTTGATTCCTTTATTACCAGTAAATAGATACTTATTGTGTAACACATATATGAGTTTACTTTTATTACTAGTAAAAGTAGTATACCATGAAAGTCTCAAGGGTGAGTCTACTTTGGCATATTATGCCATTAATTAAGGATAAGACGGTGGGTTCAAGTCCCAACGCACCATGAGGGTAAGATATCGGGTTTTGAGTCCTGATGATCCATGATTGTAAAAGTTGGGTTCGAGTCCCAACTCATTATGGCCTAACATGTCTTTATATGGGTCAGGCATTGGGTTCAATGCACCATATGGATGACATAGTGATGACTAAAGAAAATAATGTATTTTTCATGGAAAAGCATGAATCTTGTCCCACTTGATTTGCACCATTCTTGAAGTGAATGTGGTAGCAATGCATAATAAGTAAATGAAGACAAGTGGTTGACCAATGAACATGGGCGTGCCATTGATCAAATAATAATAGTCATCATTATGGTAATTGTAAAAATGAGAACAATAAGGGTTCTCGAAGTAATCCTTCAATAGGTGAAGGAAATATTTACCATCAAATTGGTATGAAAAATTTATAAAGCACGTCGCGATAATTATACTCCATTCTCTAAAGAGAATGTGACTTGTGCATTGAGAATGCAGATTCATTCCTGAAGGTGAATGTAACAATATGTAATAAAAGTAATGAATAAAGACGTGCAATGCATGATTGGATACACACCACAATTCACCTCTAAGGGAGGTTTGAGAGAAAGAGAGATCATGAATATTAGTGTGTGATTACATGAATATGTCATTGGTCGCGTACATGTGGTACGCCAAAAAATAATTTGACATGCCTTATAAAAAGTTATTAAAGGCAAAAGTAAAGCAAGAAATGATTTTGCTTATGATGATTTTGACCATGACAATTATTATGATATGATTTTCTCCGTGAAGGAGACATTCACCATATGGATGGTGTGACAAAAGAT